CCCCCTCCCCCCCTGCTAATTTCTGACAAGTCCCTTAGTTCAGAGAATCTAATATTGGATCAACTAATTATCTCCAAATTGATATTTTCTTTATTCTCATCACTTGTCTTCTTGATGTTGTATTGATGTTGTAAGGAGAAATTCTGTCTTAGTCACTAAGAACACTGAACTGACACTGGATAAAGCTGAGATGAGCTAAAGAAAAAACCTGGTCAAGAGTAGCAACCGAACCCCCCCAAAAAAAAACTCGGAAAGCTTGGATCGAGGGAACTATGTTTGATGAGAGCTTTCATCTGAACACAATGAGAAATCCCGTCGTTCTTGTCCTTTGTAAGAGCGTTGACGATGAAAAAAATCGTTGAACAATCAAGCGGATTGTTGTCTGGCGATTTCTAAAAATTCCTTATCTGAAGTATTGAATGTCTTTACCTTCTACCCGGCGGTTTTTTGGATGTGTAGCAAATGCGTTAAACTGTTAAAATCGGGGAATGTGTCATGATCAAATTATCGCACTGTCTGGGTATTTGACTGCCTTGAAGAATGAAAGATCTCAGCTGATTTAATTCGTTTTCAAGTTCCAAGTAACCTCTACGTCTCAACAAATTTTTTAGCTTACACAGCGATTTCTCAAAATGTCTTACATTCGAGAGTAGGGTCATTCGTTCCTTTCCCCTTTTCATTTTTGGCCGGAAACACTTAAAGTAAGTGTGATTGGCTTTCAGGCAAACACTTCTTAACGGTTTTTCAAGATTAAAAGGGTGCTATTCAAATTTCCTTTCTTTCAGGCGTAAATGCTCCTCGCCGGAAACACTTAATTGTGGTCAGCTTACAGACAAATACTATAAAACAGTTTCTCGTGATTTTAAATTTACATTTAAGTTTTTACTGTACCGGGGCGACTCTTCTTTTGACGTCTGGTTTTCATTTTTTACCAAATGTATTCACTAATTTATCTTATCTGTGATCTTAAAATACCCTCATGAATCGCGTGCCCCTAGAGTTTCGACTCCTAATGTGGTGCTAAATCGAAACGTCCGCAAATAAATAATCTTGATTTACGACCCGGGGGTCCGGAATGGATTTGAAGTACAACCTTGCCAAGTGTCAATCGTCTACGGGAATAATCTGGGATTGAACTTCTTGCGTGAATGACACGTTTGAATTCAAACTCCGGAAATGTGTTGTTTTTTGTAATAGTACCGCTTCTAGAACAGCTGGTCTAAAACTTAGACAAACAAACGTATTTCACGTCTTTTGCTTGAGAATTCTAAATGAACGCGTTCGTAATATTGTAGCTAACTGTAATTTCGTTTTGCTAACTACAATAAAAGCAATGCATTAGGTTATGTACGTAAGTCTTGCCGAATTGCCTTAATGTTAATAAACTTTGGTTCCGTGCAGAGTTTCCGAATTCGATAGTAAGTAGTTTTTCACAGATCAGACAAGAAAAATGTAAGAATTGTTTCATGTTATTCAGTTGAAGTTCAAAACCAGGACTGTAATTTTCTTATATTCACTTAAACTTTGAATCCGTCTTTCGCTCAGATTAAAGAAAGGCAAGAAAATGGTTATTACTCTTTAATTGTTCTTTAAACCAGAATACGATTGAGATTTTTGATGTAGTTTGAAAGCTTTCCTGACCGTTTTACCAATTATATTTGATGCTCTTCAGTTTTACCATACTTTTGAGGTAAAATTCCTCAAAGTATTGAGCTTATTGTACGCCCTCATTAGTAGAGATCAATACTAAGCTCTATATCTAATCCTTCATCGACTCGTCTGTCTTTTGAACAACCGGCTCCAGGAGTACCTAAGAACTTCGGGCAAACCAACAGAGTTCCTTGTTGTGATATTTTCCTTTGTTCTGACTCGAACCTGTGGGTGTTTTAGCTGTGGCTTTTAAGACGCTCAACCAATGTGCGTCATTGGCCCATCAACTCTCAAAGCTGATTACCATATAACCTCTCCCTATAATATCCATACATTATCCTGCAAACAGGTGACGAGAATACTCCAAATAATCAGGTAGAAGTTGTAATCTTGAACTAACACCAAATTATCGTAACGAAGTGACAAGGAAACGTTTAGCAGCTAGAGGGGTGAATTAACAATCAGACCTTGGGAGTTATAGGGTTAAGGAGATGATGCCATCTGTGATTAATTTCTCCTTAACTTCAGGTGTGGCATGGCCTTCCGTCACGACTCCACTGTCACCATGCACATCAGAACTCGCCATGACCACCTGCGCCCGTTTAAGTGCGAAGTGTGCGGCAACCTGTTCGGACGACTGTCCCATCTCAAGAAGCACATCCGCAAAGTTTGCGGCGACAACAAGAACAAGGAGAAGCCAATTGCACAGTGTCGCTTCTGTGACGTCACCTTCCCGACTAAGGGAGATTTACGCAAGCACTTACTGAACTGTGAAAAGAAAGGTGCGCTACTTTTAAAGTAAAAATAGCTTAGTATCTTTTCTAGCCAAGTCGTGGGAGACTCCGTCTGGATTGTCCGAACTCCGGACTCCAGTAGTGACCGGCCCCGCAGGAAACAGGGAATTTGTTTCCCAAGACCCTAAATATTCCCCGAGGCGAAGCATACAATGTAGGAAGGTTTTGTGGAATTTCAGGGACATCTCTTTGATGTAACGAAATGATTGGAAGTACGCTGCAATGGACCAGCGTCCTGTTGGGGGGGGGGGGGGGGGGGGGG